GAAATGCAAACTGGAGCAGCTCCACAAAGCAAAAATGCCAGAAAGGTGGACACGGTCCTTGGCAGGGCCTGGAATTGTTTCTGTGTGAGGTCATCGCTCCTCTGGTGTCCCCATTCCAGACTTTCCGCACATAAAAGGCTTTTCCTCGCCGTAGCCAAGGTGCTCCGCATTTGGGAGCGAATTAATTTAATCTAATCCATTTAGATCAGGGAATAAACCTCCAAACATCCCATGCCCAGCCTGCCACTGTCCCCCCGTGCCCGGTGTCCGCAAGAATCCCGGGTTCCCATCTCCCACAGCAGCAGCACCCGGCGCTGGGGCCACCCTGGGTTCCCTCCCCTTCCTCTGGAAGGACCCCTGGGCCCTTTTTGTGGTTTTCCCACCGCCAGCAGAGTCCCCTTCTGGGCGCATCACTCAGCATCCCGGCATCCCAGGTATCCGCATCCCATCCCGGGATCCCGTCTGACTAACGCGGGGCAGGAGCCCATCCGAGCCCGGCCAGGACTAATGGGATAATGGCCACAGCCTCTTCAGAGCGCTGCCCACACCGGGCCAGGCGCTAATTGGGGCTGATTAAGCCGGCAGAGAGCTCCAGGAACAAAACACACACACGGCACACACACACACGGCAGAGGCCTCAGTGCTCAGCTATTCATTCCCAGGACGTGCCTCATTCCCTGCAGAGCTCGGCCCATATAAAAGCTTCCAGCCCCGGCTCTCCGTGCTCAGGACTCCGATTCCCTGCTCAGCCCGTCCGTTTCTGCTCGCAGGGTGAGTTGGATGCTCTCAGATTCCTTGGAAAAAGCAAAAAGAAACAAACAAAAGGCGTCGGTGTTTTGTTTGCGTTTTCCCGGGTTGTTTATGCCCAAGGGCTTGGTCACCCTCAAAGGATTTTGTGAGTCATGGGAGAAGCAGCTCCCGAGGGAACTGGGGGGGCTCAGCTTGGAGAAAAGGAGGTTCGGGGGGGAATTTTGGGATCTGCACAAGTCCCTGACAGGAGGGGACAGCGGGGGGGGGTCGGGCTCTGCTCCCAGGGAACAGGGACAGGATGAGAGCTGGGCCAGGGCAGGCTCGGGTTGGACTCGGGAGGAATTTCCCCCTGGAAAGGGGTCAGGGCCTGGCAGGGGCTGCCCAGGGAGCTTTGGAGTGCCCGAGGAATTCCTGGACGTGGCTCTCGGCTGGGTGGTGTTGATCCATCTCAGGCTGGACTGGATGACCCCGGAATTCTTTTCCACCCTCAATAACTCCCCGATTCTGTGATCTCTGCCCCCAGGATGCTCCAGCAGAAAGGCGGCGCCGACCACGACCTGTGCCAGCACCAGGGCTGGACACCACCGAGCTGCACCGGGCACTGCCCCGAGCCCCCCGAAACCTGCCCCGACCCCGGCAGCCTCAGCCACGACACCGAGGGCTCCACCCAGAGCTGCCACCCCGGCCATCTGTGCCCACCCCGGCCCTCCTGCTGCCCGGCCCCGCAGAGCTGCAAGCCCCGGCGGCGGGTGGAGGTGAGCCCGGTGCCCCCCGTGTGCCCCCCGCCCGTCAGGATCCACCGGCGGCCGCTGCAGCAGCACCGCCCGTGCCCGCCGTGCCCGGAGCCCGACCCGGGCAAGCCCCGCAGGCGAGTGGAGCAACGTCCCGAGGAGGATGAGGAACCCCCGGTGGTCCTGCAGCCCCCGCAGCGCCGCTGCCCCTGCATCCAGCGATGCCCCCGGCCCGTGCCCTGCTGCCCGCGGCCCTCCCGGCGCTGCTGTCCCCGCATTGTCCCCCTGCCACCACATCCCGGCCACCAGCAGCAGAAGCAGGTCACGCTGCTGCCCCTCTGCGTGAAGAACTGAGCCCAGGGACCCCTCCCCAGCTCCTGGCTGGGTTTGGGGGGGTTCGCCCCCAGCCCAAGGGACGCTCCCAGCGCCGCTCTGGGCTCGCTGCTGCTTTTTGCAGATTTGGGGATGCCCCGCTTGGCCCCGGCACCGACACTTTTTAAATTTTTAAATTCGGGGCGTTCTCCCCCTGCCGGGTTTTGGTTTTCCCCCGCCTGAGGCCACTCGGACACAGAGGAACCGTCACGGGTCTGCTCTGCCGGGCTTCACCTCCAAGGCTGTTGGGGAGCAGCTCCAGGACTTTGCAAGGAAAAAAGGAACCACTGTAAAGGCAGGAGCATCTCAGACTCCTGCAGCTTTATCCTCTCCCCGTGTATTCAAGAATAAAGTTGAAAATTATTTAGCAAACCCTCGGTTCCTCTCTTTTTTGCCCACCGACATTGCAAGGAGAAGATGTTGAAAGCGATTCAGGCTCTCCCGAGGGAACTCGTGCATTTAAATCAGGGCTCACACGGGAGGGTTTCAGCTCTGCCCTCAGGGGTTTCTCCAGGTTGGAAAATCAATAATAAAGTTGAAAATTATTTAGCAAACCCTCGATTCCTCTGTTTCTTGCCCACCGACATTGCAACGAGAAGATGTTGAAAGCCATTCAGACTCTCCCGAGGAAACTCGTACGTTTAAATCGGAGTCAGGGTTTCAGCTCTGCCCTCGGGGGTTTCTCCAGGTTGGAAAATCCTCCCCACCGCGGTTCACCCACCCCGGGAGCTCGGCATGGGCAGAGCCGGGCACCAACATCTGCTCTGCGCCCAGCACCTTCATCCCCCGAATGGGAGCCGTGAACATCCTCATTTGCATGCTAATTATGATAATGAGCGCGTGGCCCGGCACGGGAGGGGTGGCTGTGCATGCCGGGGATGCCTTTTCGCTCCTGCAGGAAGGTGCAGGCCCAGGGGTAACCTGCTGCTTCTCCTCGCTTTGCCAAAAAAGCCTCCCACAGAGGGCATGAAAATAAATCATTTAATTTCTTTGTAATTTCTTTGTGTTGCCTCAGCATCGCCCGGGCGTGTCCTCGCACAACCGCCACGGAGAGCTGGGAAGGCAAAAAAGGGAAATTCATCCTCGTTTTCTTCACCACAGCAATTCCTTTTTCTTGTGTCTCATTCCAAATAAAAACACCACTTACCTGTGAGATTTACCTCGGGAGAGTCCTTTTTTTATTAGGGATTTTCTTCCCAGTTCCCAACACAGTGACTCAGGGCCCACAGACCAAGGCCCAGCTCAGCCCTCGCTTCCAGGTCTGATTTGGTCCAGTTTGTCTCCCAAGCTGCTTCTCAGCAGCCCTCTGATCCCAGTACCCCCATCCCAGTTCCCCCATCCATCCCAGTTCCCCATCCCATTTCCCCCATCCCATTTCCCCCATCCCAGTTCCCCATCCCATTTCCCCCATCCCATTTCCCCCATCCCAGCTCCCCATCCTAGTTCCCCCATCCCAGTTCCCCATCCCAGTTCCCCATCCTAGTTCCCCCATCCCATTTCCCCCATCCCAGTTCCCCATCCCATTTCCCCCATCCGTCCCATTTCCCCCATCCCAGTTCCTCACCCCAATTTGAGGATTTTCCAAGTCCATCCCATTGTCCACGGTTTTAATGCACCAGCACCAGAATCAGCCCCTTTTTCACCCCCACGCTTTTCATCCACCCAGTCCAAACCTCCCTCAGTTTAACCCCGAGGCTGCTGGGGGAGAGACTTTGCCAAAAAACTTCACAAAAGTTGGGGCAGAACCACAGAATTGTGGAATGGTTTGGGTGGGGAGGGTTAAAAAAACCAGCTTGGGGGTGAGGGAAGGGGCAAATCTGGAATGCAGAAATGGGGAGGAAAGAGAATCATGGAATGGTTTGGGTTGGGAGGGTTCAAAAAACCAACTTGGGGGTGAGGGAAGGGGCAAATCTGGAATGTAGAAATGGGGAGGAAAGAGAATCGCAGGAAGGTTTGGGTTGGGAGGGACCTCAAAAAACCAACTTGGGGATGAGGGGAGGGGCGAGTCTGGAATGGAGAAAAAACAGAATCGTGGAAAGGTTTGGGTTGGAAGGGACCTTAGGGATCATCTCACTGCAACTCCCACAGGCACCTTCCACCATCCCAGCCCTGTCCAAGCTGGCCTTGGACACTTCCAGGAATGAGGCAGCCAGAAATTCCCTGGAAAAGCCGTGTCAGGCCCTGCCTGCCCTGGCTCCCTCATGCCCAGAGCCAACCCCAGCATCACGGAAACCGACGGGCACAATTTGCTTTTGGTGACTCTGAGCTGGCTCTTCCCATCACCTGCTCGTGCTTCACCTGGAAATGCTCCTGACGGGCAGCAGGAGGGGAGGGCCGGAGCTCCTGACTCACAGGTCACCCTGCAGAGGGTGAATAAGTCCTTTATTACCTGGATCACACATCCAAAATGGGGCTTAGGCCGTCTCAAGTCTTTTATGTGCCCCGCTGAGGACCGATGTTATAATTAAAAGATGCTTATCAGAAATGGTGAGTCAAGCAGAACATGCCAGGCACCGGGAACAGCATCCAAATGGAGGAGATGTTTTGCCAATAAATAATTTAATCCTCGTTCCTGCTGCGTGTTTCACGTTCAGGGGAACTCTCAGAGCTCTATAAAAGCCCTCAGCCCCTTGGCCTCTCACATTCTGCTCCACTTCCTGTCTTCATTTGAGATCTGGTGAGGCTCATCTCTTCTTGGATGGGGGTCTGGGTTTGGGAGGTCACACACCTGGACTTTCAGGCCATGCTCTGACACGGGAGAAGTTCTTGAGGGACCTGGGGTGGGATTTACAGCGGTGCCACCGCATATTGGTTGGTTTTGGTTTGTTGGTTTTGGTTGGTTGGTTGGTTTTGGTGGAGGTGAAAAATGAGAAAGGGAAGGTCAGAAGGAGGGTTTGGATGCAATTTGGATGCAATCTCACCAGCATTGGGCAACTGCAGGAATTTCCTCTGGATCCAAGCCCTCAGGACAAACCCCAAGGGAAATCGAACAGAACCAGAGGAGACGCTGACACCAACCCCATCTCTTCCCCAGGTTTACTGGATCCAAGCCCTCAGGACAAACCCCAAGGGAAGTCAAACAGAACCAGAGGAGACGCTGACACCAACCCATCTCTTCCCCAGGCCTTTTCCCCCCAAAGCCCCGCCATGATTTACTCCTCAGGAAGAGAATCCTTCTTCAACCTGAACTCCACCTGGTACGACCCCTCTGGCTCCTGGCTGGACACACGGCGCACGCCCTTCCGCTACGGCTACTCCACCTGCTGCTCCTCGGGCTCCTCCTCGGGCTGCCACGGCGAGGGCGTCGAGGGCATGAGGGGCCATGACTACCGGCACTACGGCTACCGGCAGCCCCGCTGCGCCGAGCGCTGCCACGGCTACTCAGGCTCGTGCCATGGAGCGGGGGACAGCTGTGTCAGGAGACCCACGTACAGCTACGGGGCATCAGGGGGGTGCCAGGGTTACGGGAGGTCCGTGTGCTCCGAAAGGTGCCAGGGTTACGGGAGGTCCGTGTGTGCTGAAAGGTGCCAGGGCTCCTCGGGTTCGTGCCATGGAGGGGGGTCCAGCTGTGTCAGGAGACCCACGTACAGCTACGGGGGTTCAGGGGGGTGCCAGGGTTACGGGAGGTCTGTGTGCTCCGAGAGGTGCCACGGGACAGTGGCCCAAGGGGGGAAGCCGTGCTGTGGGACGCCCGTGCAGAGCATCCCAGTGCAGAGCTGTCCCCAGCCAGTGCAGAGCATCCCAGTGCAGAGCTGTCCCCAGCCAGTGCAGAGCATCCCAGTCCAGACCTGTCCTCCACCAGTGCAGATCTGTCCCCGTCCCTGTCCCCCTCCCGTGAAGAGCATCCCAGTCCAGACCTGTCCTCCACCAGTGCAGATCTGTCCCTGTCCCTGTCCCCCTCCCGTGAAGAGCATCCCTGTGAAGAGCTGTCCCCCTCCAGTCCAGAGCTGTCCCCCTCCAGTCCAGGCCTGTCCCTGTCCCTGTCCCCCTCCAGTCCAGCAGGGCTGTGTCCCCATGGCCAAGGGCATCCCCCGCCAGCAGCAGAAGCAGGTCTGCAAAATGCCAGCCCGGAAGATCAAATAAAGGACCCGAGGAGTGAGGGGAAACAAAGGGAATTGTCCCTGTCCCCCCTCCCTTGTCCTGCTTTGTCACCCATCTCTGCTCTGTCGCTCTGCTTGTAACGCGCTCTGAAGTTGTGACCCGCTGATGCTGTGAAATTTAAAATGCTTTTCACCTCGTTTCACAGCAGATGTGGAGGCAATAAATAAAAAAATGCTGTCTCAAACCCCCCTCGCATTCGTGTTTCTATCTCCTCATCCCTCTGAGTGGCTCCGGGTCCTTCTGGTGGCCAGAGCTGGGTTTGCAGCGGCCTCACAAGGAGGCTCCAGGGTGGTTCCACCTGGCGGCTCCTCGTTCCCACTCCAGGCAATTTCCTGCTTGGTAAAGTAACAGTTTTCATCACGGGGTGTTTATGCAAGTGTGTAATTAAATATTAATGAAGTTGTGTAAGAAAAATCCACTTTTTAACGGAGAGGGGAAAAGCAGAGGGTCTGTTTGGGACCATGAGGCAACGGGTGCAGCTGGATTGGCGCCAAAAACCTCCAAAAAAAAAGCCCTGGGGAAAAAAGGCAGGAAGAGGATTTGGGAATGGCTCTGAAAGCTCACAAATCTCTGGTGGGGTTGGGAGAGGAACCCCCAGGGAGGATTTCTGGGGCCAGGCAGGGATGTGGAGCCGCTGTGAGTCACAGCACCGCGTGCTCAGAGCTCCCGGCGCCTCCCCAGCCCTGGTGAACGCCTCCATCCCCTCCTGAGTCAGGACGTGGCACATGGCACCATCAGCCACCTCCCAGGGTGGGGATTCCTCCTGCTGGAGAAGGGAAAAAAGCAAAAGCAGGTGCAGGGTGGGGGTTTTAGGGTGGACACTGACAGTGACACCACCCAAAGCCTCCCTCACCAGCTTCTGCATGGGCAATTCCTTCATAAAAGCAACAAACGACCCCAAAAAAAGCCATTTCCCCACTCAGAATGGTGTCTGTGGATCCAGGGATGCCTCTCCAAGAACCAGGAGCTTTGCAGGGGATACAGGGAGCAGCTGTGGGGTCAGCACAGTCCTGCCCCATCCGTGGGCCCAGCTGCCCCCAGGCCCTGCTCAGGTGTTTGTCTCCATCGATGGAACAGGTTTATCCCCATCACGGAATCAGGGCTGTAATTAATCGTGAATAATGAGTTTCACAAGGATTTCCATTCTCCCGATGTTTGTGAAATATCCCGAGCCGCGTTCGGATTTCCTCATCTATCAGTTCCAGCAATTCAGCTCCACTGGGGACCAAGGGGTCTTCTGGAATCTGTATTTTATTTTCATTTAGTCCAGGCTTTTTTTAATATCACAGTGGCCTCTAGAGTCCTGCAGGAGATTAGGCCTGGAGCTCTCCATGGGTACAAAGACACTTTTGTCCCCAAAGCAGAGCGTGTAAGACAAAGATCCCCATGTCCTCCCACTCCTACCAGAACATTCTCTACATCCTACGGGCTTTAAATTCCTTCTGTTTGGGTTGAAAGCCTTAAAGTAAAAAAAGGACTGGCCCGAAAAATCCCAGCACTGCTTTTAGTGCTTCTTTGCTGACTTTATTCAGAATTTTTGATATTTCTTTGATGCCCTGTCCAATTATGTTTAATTTACTACCCACCACTACAGCCTTTTTGTTCCCTTTCTCTTTCATTTTTGGGTTTCCTTTACAACCCCACAATCAGATCCCACAATCCCACCTTCCCACCCTCTAACACCCGTCCCATCTCAGTTCAGGATCTGGGCACAAAGAACAGGTAAATGCCACAATCCAAGGTGACAAAAACCACCCCAAACTCTCCCAGCCCCGCGCCCCACCGGGCCAGGCGTGGTGGGCAATTAACATTTTTATGGAGTAACGAGAGGGATGTCAGGATATCGATCAGCTCCGTGTGTCAAAACAGCACAGCAAAAACTCCCAATTAGCCAAGTGCTCGGGGTGCTGAGCAATCAGGTCCCTCCAGTGGGGCCCCAGCTGGTTTCCGGAGGAGAAGCCCAAGCCAGCCTTTAAAAGCCCTCGCTCCGCGTTTCTCCGCAGCGTCTCAGCTCCTCAGCGTCGCCTCTCCAGCTCCTTCTGATCCAGGTGAGTCCAGATCCATCCGATCTTTACTCTCCTAACGCTCTCAAGCTCCTTCTGATCCAAGTGAGTCCAGATCCATCCGATTTTTACTCTCCTAACGCTCTCCAGCTTCTCCCCAATCCTGAGCTCTTTGGGACTTCTCTTCCACGTCCTATCTCCATCTCAGTCCTTCTGCCGAGTGGGAAAATGTAAAAATTCCCGGCTCAGGTGGCTCTGCGTGTCTTGCTCTGGAGTTTGTCCGGCTCTTTTCACTTCTCTCTGATGTACATGACCAAAGGAGCCACCACAGGCAGATGTACGGGGATAACTCTTCTCCTGCTCAAGAACCTGGCTTAGAACCGTGAAGCCATGGAATTATGGAGTCATGGAATGGGTCGGGATAGAAGAGACCTTAAAATCTGCTCACTGATTTTAGGGACATCCCCCGCTAGCGCATCCCGGGGTGCTCCAAGTCCCATCCAACACAGCCTCGTGTCATGGTTGAGACGGAGACAATGCAAAGCAACTCCCCTTTTTCAGAAGGCTTCAAACCATTTTGATTTTGATGCATGATTTTTATACATTCTTACAAAACTCATAAATTTACACTTATTGGTCATGACAGACAAACAAAGTGCTCATTGTAACAGGCAGTTGAAGGTTTCTCTTATTTCTCCTTGTTTCTTTGTTGGTTTCTGTGTCAACAACCTCAATAGAAAATCCTTTCAGGGTTGAACACAGATCCTCTTCTCAAACTTCTCTCTGGCTCACAGAAATCGCTGTAAAACCTCTCCCACAGCTTCGGACACTTCCAGTGTCCCCGCTCGTGGCCTTCACTCACGGATGAGTTTCCCCAGCAGGTCTCCAACCATGTGCTCCCGCCAGGACAAGGACCAGTGCCACCAGCAGGAACGGTCCTGCTGCCACAGCCACGGATCTGGTTGCCATGGGAGCAGTGGTGGATCTGGTTGTCATGGTAGCAGTGGCGGGTCTGGTTGCCATGGGAGCAGTGGTGGATCCGGTTGTCATGGTAGCAGTGGCGGGTCTAGTTGCCGTGGAAGCAGTGGCGGGTCTGGTTGTCAAAGGAGCAGCGGATCTGGTTGCCATGGAAGCGGTGGATCTGGTTGCCATGGCAGCAGCGGTTCTGGTTGCCGTGGAAGCAGTGGCGGATCTGGTTGCCATGGCAGCGGCGGATCTGGTTGCCGTGGAAGCAGTGGCGGATCTGGTTGCCATGGCAGCGGCGGATCTGGTTGCCATGGCAGCAGCGGGGGATCCTGCCATGGAAAGCCGCTGGAGTGCCAGCAGCAAATCTACCAAGTGTCCTCAAACATGAAGTGATCATCCCGCCAGCTGCAGGTGATTCACAGGAGTGCCCTGGATCCTGTGTCACGTTCTGAAAGCTTTGCATATGCCCAGGAATTTCCAATTTCCAAGGACAAAGTGTCCTTCCCTCCCCGGTGTGTCCTGTAACCTGTCCTGAGTTTGTCTGTGGGTGCTGAAATAAACGCTTTGCTCAGCTGGCACGGTTGTGTGTGGATCGGTCTGTGACTTCATTTGAGCCACCATAATCCATAATTTCAGAGATGTTTTGAGCCAAAGAGTCCTATAGACAAAAAAAAAAAAACCTTTTTTTTTGCCATTTGGCCCCAAAATGCCGCCCCCGAGGGAGGTACCTCAGCGTGCTGGTGGCAAACCCCCAGCCAGCCTTTCTAGAAACGCTGTGCCCGAGCCCTGCCCGAGCCCTGGGTCGTGCCAGGGGCGTTGCTCGATGGTTACACAACGAGCTGCTAAATTTCTTCTCAGCTTGTAATTAAAACGAATTGGGTAATTTATTGCTCCGGTATTGCCATTCATGAAATGGATGTTACCGTGATAAGATTGTTCTCGAGTGCGTCAGGAGGATCAGAAATTTCTGGCATTGCTGAAAAGGGTGCAGGCAGCAGCTCACTCCCTGTTTTTGGAGCAGGGATGGCTCGGGAAGGCTCCTTGTCCGAATCTGGGGTTTGCCTTGAGCCCCCAAATTCAAAAACCGTTCTCAAGGGGTGGCCAACCACAAAACGTAGGGTTGCCCATTGTTAACAAACTCAGAGCAATTAAAACACGAGGAAGTGAACACAGGGAGATGCCAAGAGCCAAAAATTCCTTCGAGTGTTTTTTTTCCCCAGAGGTCATTGACCACGTTTCTGCTGAGGCCAGAACAAAACGCAATTGGAGAGCAGCGACCAAACCCAGGCACAGTTTGTCCTGACACTGTTCTAGATCGTGGCAGGAGTTTAGCAACACAAAAGAAACTCCAGGTTGCTCACCAGGTTCCCTCACCTGCCCTGTCCTCCCAAATTTCCCAAAATCCTCTGTTTTGGATACCAGCAAATGTGGATGGGGTTTGGGTGGAAGGAACCACTCAGTCTGCATCTCCATAAAATCAACGTGGACAAAGACAAATCAAAGACAGGAGAGCTTGGGAGGAAGGAAAATATTTCCCACCCAGTGTTTTCCAAGCTTCTTCACACCAACAAAACCACAGCAGCTCCCAGATGGGAAAATCCAAATTTCAGCCCTTTTTTTGCTTCCAGTTTAACGATTTGCAATGTCTTCCATAAGCAGTGACAAAGCCAAACAAGCTCCATGCTCCTAAAGAATTCCCAGCCCACGCAGCAGAAAGGTACAGGGAGTATCCCAAATTATTGCCTCTCACGGTGTGGGGCTGAGCATCCGGGATTTGCTGGCCAATTAGGAGCTAATTGGGGATCAGGGGAAATGCAAAAAGGGTGTTCCTGCAGCTCTGGAGAAAGTCCCGGGGGTCTGCCAGGTGCCCACAACTGTGTGTGGCCGAAGGCTCCTGTGGGATCCCTGCTCCTCCTCCTCCTCCTCCTCCTCCTCCTCCTCCTCCTCCTCCTCCTCCTCCTCCTTTGGCAGCACCGGAGCCGCTCACCTGGAATAAAACCATGGATTTGTTCCCAGGCTGAGAAACTCAACCACATAATTAAGCACCTTGCTAATCCTGGATCCTTACCCAGGGCAGGGCTTATTCCTTCCAAAAATAAGAATTCCAGCTGCTTGAGCTCTTGGCAATGGCAGGAAACCTTGGAGTTTCCTCGTCGCCCCACCGTGTTTTGACCAGTTCTAAGAGGAACGAGCCAAAGGGGATTCCAGGCAAATCCCAAAATCCCTGAGGTTGGAAAAGCCCCCCAAGGCCATCAAATCCAAGCTGTGCCCAAACCCAGAGGGTCACAGCCAGGCCCTCCTTGGACACTTCCAGGTGACTCCAAACCCCTTTTCCAAGGCCTGGCTGCCCTTTCCAGGAAAAAAATTCCTCCTGATTCCCACCTGAGCCTCCTGTCAGGGAGTTGTGCAGAGTCAGAATTTCCCCCTGAGCCCCCTTTTCTCCAGGCTGGACCCCCCAGCTCCCTCAGGAGTTCCTCCAGTTCCTCCATTCCCTTCTCTGGACCCACTCCAGCCCCTCTTGCCATGCGTGCCCAGAACTGGACACAGCACTGGACATTCCCCTCACCATCCCCAGTGCAGAGGAAATTCCTGCTAAATCAGAGTTTTCTCCTTTCCCAAAACTGTTTTTGCTATTTCAGGGCCCATTTTGGTTTTTAGGGGAGTTGCAGGCCTAGAGAACCTCAGGACATCCTGGAGGGAAGCTGCGGTTTGTGGTTTGGGGGTGAGACATCCTCATCTCCCCCTGAACCCGAATCACTCCCGGGGTGTGATCGACACCAAACCTGACCTGGGGAAACCGGGGCCACCCACGGCTCCCCCAGCCCAGCCCTGCACAGGCAGAGCCGGCAATTAAAGCTCTGTGGACAGGAAAGGCGACCTACAAGGAGAGGCAATCCCAGCCTGGATCGGGTGAGTCACCCCAGGAGCCCCAGAAATGGGAAGGCAAAAAAAAAAATTAAAAAGCCACCAGCGAATTAAATGAACGGGACAGGGAGGGGCTTCTCCGTGTGGGGTGTGCAGAGAGGATATAAAAGTGCTCCTGTCCCCAAAAGCCTCTCATCCTTCTTCATCTCTTCCTGCACGAGCAGCTCAGGTAAGAGCTGGGGGGCTCCAGAACCATTGGTGGGGTGAGTTGGGATCCCCACACCTGGAACAGAGCTGGGTTTTGTTCTGGGGTGGGTGAGGAGGGAGTCCAGGGGTTCGGAGGGAGCAGAGGGGGGGATGTGGAGGGAGGGTCAGGGGTCTTGGCTCTGGTTTTGGAAAGCCGGGCATGGCCTGGGTGCCCCCAACACCTTCAATGGGACAATGCCAGGGAGGAAAGGGATCCAGAAATGTGGGATCTGGCTGTGACTGGGACAAGGAACACTGGGATCCCTTTTCCCAGTGCCAGCCAGGGATGGTCTGGGGTCTTGGCTCTGGTTTTGGAAAGCCGGGCATGGCCTGGGTGTCCCCAACTGTTGCAGTGTGATCCAACACCCAACGCCTTTGGTGGGACAATGCCAGGGAGGAAAGGGATCCAGAAATGTGGGATCTGACTGGGACAATGCCAGGGAGGAAAGGGATCCAGGAATGTGGGATCTGACTGGGACTGGGAAAAGGAACACCCCCAGGGAGCATCTGGGGTCTTGGCTCTGATTTTGGAATGCCAGGCACAGCCTGAGTGTCCCCAACACCTTCAGTGGGACAATGCTGGGGGGAAAGCAATCCAGAAATGTGGGATCTGCCTGGGACTGGGAAAAGGAACTCCAAACTCCAAACCTGGATTCCTGCTGCCTGGAAGGGCAGGAGCAGGAAGGACAAAGCCCTGCCAGCTGCTGTGTCCCCACAGGTGACCCAGCACAGCGCCATGTGCTCCCGCCAGGACAAGGACCAGTGCCACCGGCAGCAGCGCCAGAGCAGCGGTGGCTGCCACAGCTCCGGTGGCGGTGGCTGCCACAGCTCCAGCGGCGGCGGCTGCCACAGCTCTGGCGGCAGCTCTGGGGGCTGCCACAGCTCCGGTGGTGGCGGCTGCCACAGCTCTGGTGGTGGCGGCTGTCACAGCTCGGGCGGTGGCGGCTGTCACAGCTCCGGTGGCTCCGGCTGCCACGGGAAGCCGCAGATGCCGGTGCAGCAGCAGCAGCAGCAGCAGGTGCCGCAGATGCCCCAGCAGAAGATGAAGTGACAGCGTGGCCATCGCCTTGTGCCAGCTCTGGCAGCAAAGGCCGCACGGGGACCGGATCCCTGTCACCTCCCCGGGGGTCCCGAAGCCTCCCCGGTGCCCTCCGGAGCCTGGCAAGGGCTGGGCTGTGCCCAATAAAGAGTCACATCCTCTAAACCCCACTGGTGTTGGTGTTTCCTTGCACTCCAGAGCCTGGGAGGCAGCCCAGGATGGGGGTTTGGGCCTGGGATGTTCTCCAGAATCAGGAACACAGCCCAGGATGGGGATTTGGGGCTGGGAGGTTCTCCAGAGCCAGGGTGGGGTTTTGGGGCTGGGAGAGGCAGCCCAGGATGGGGTTTTAGGGCTGGGATGTTCTCCAGAATCAGGGACACAGCCCAGGATGGGGTTTTGGGGCCGGGATGTTCTCCAGAGCCAGGGACACAGCCCAAGGAGGGGATTTAGGGCTGGGAGGTTTTCCAGAGCCAGCCTGGGTTGAGGTTTTAGGGATGAGATGTTCTCTAGAGCCAGGGACACAGCCCAGGATGGGGTTTTAGGGCTGGGATGTTCTCCAGAGCCAGGATGGGGTTTTGGGGCTGGGATGTTCTCCAGAGCCAGGATGGGGTTTTGGGGCTGGGATGTTCTCCAGAGCCAGCCCAGGATGGGGTTTTGGGGCTGGGAGGCTCCTAAAATCCAGGCAGGCACCAGGTTGGATGGTTTTTATTGGGTGTTTGTGGTGTTACAACCGTTTGTGTGAGAAGGGGGAAAATAAGCAGGGGAAATAAATCGCCTTTGGGATATTTACAGTGCAGAAAGATCTCTCTGAAAATCCACCTCCCTGAGGTGCATTTTTGGTGTGTCCACCCCCTCAAAAACCCGTGGGAACTCTGCTGCCGACTCCAAATGAGCTGGAAATGAGCTCCCAACAAAAATGAACTTTTAATTTCCCCCCAGGAATTGCCACTCTGGGCTCGTCATTTCTGTACAGGCTGATATCAAATAATCAAATAATTCCCCTGCTCATCCCAGCCCTATTAACCAGGGATTTTTTTTCTTTTTTTTCACTTTCTCCCCATTAATAACTGGGGTGAAGGGGCTGAGATTTCAGCAGGGTTGAGATTTTTTGCTTTTTATGAGGAAAAAAAGAGAAAATCTGCCCCCAACCACCCCCTCCAAGCCCTCAAAGCTGCGTTTTTAAAGCACCCCAAGGAGACGCCACTGGAGCAGGGGGACCAAAGGAGACCTGGGGATATTTTTG